CTGAACCCGGTGGTCGACGACGGCAGTGAGAGATACCGCCAAGCAATAGAAAGAGTCCCATTGAGCCTGGTTTGCTTGTGGGGCTTCTGAGGTAGCAAACGTTTACCATGAGTCAAAGCGTGCTGCTGGCAGAGTGGCCAAGTTGCGGGTAGCAGAATCTAGATGTCATGGTTCAATATCCATGTATTCTTATAATCATCTCATGGTTTGTCTGACCCACAAGCCATAAGATGAATCTAAACATACACAAATATTGGCTTGTGGGACTTCTGAGGCAGCGTTCAGGTATTGTGCGGCCAAGCGTATCTGCCTGAGTCAGAGAAGCGGAGCTTAGAGAGGCTATGTAGAAAGACCATCCATTACAGTAGCCTCAAGGTAGTGATGGGTTAATGAGGCATCGTTTCGACACATTGCCAAACTGTACTGATACTGCATTGATTCTGTCTCACAGAATACTGACACCTGCTGGACCTTTAAACACAGTACAGGCAGCTTATTTGACAGATTAAACTAAATCGATTTGATGACCTAGTACAATTATATAATTGAAGTTATTGTAGTTTATATTGCATTTCATGTCTATGTTTAATTTGAAAACATTTTTGATATTTTTAGAATATGAATGTAAACAGTGAATGTAACCATATCATAACGTGAAAATTTAGGGTAAAATGTGAATGAGGATGCTTGTAGACTAGGATTTTAAATCATATTTTTAAAACAGTAAGTTCAGCAAAAAGTCATAAGTAATAAACTAAGAGTTAATTTGAAATTAACTTTAATTCAGATAAGTTTAGTGATAACTGAGAGGAAAAGGATGACACAATGAGAACATTTAAATAAAAATGCACCGGCTGAAAGGTTCCTATTCCTTTTAGGCTGCTCCAAAATTCTAGACAATTTTTATGATGAACCGCAAAAGAAAAGACATTTTTTTTTTAGCAGATGCATCATGTTGAAAGATACATTTTTAAACACAGTTTAGTGATTCAGTCAATTAGAAACAACTCCTGTATCAGTCACAAGACTTTCTTGAAACGATAGTGTTTTGCTCTATGGGCTTGATGCATTGGTGTTGCTTGACCCATCACTTCTGTACCTCAAGGTGATTCTGGGAAACCATCTGGTACCTGCGGGGGGAAAAGCATTGTTTTGCCAACACTGATTTAAGTGGAAGTGGGAAGATGTTGACCCTGAAAGAGGATATAGTTGATTGGTGGAAGAAATACTTTGAGGATCTCCTCATTACGGCTGAATAAGCCTTCTGTGGTGGAAGACGAGAAGGGGTGTTTGGTGCTTCTTCCTTTCTCAGTTAGTAAAAGAAAAAAATGCCTTATTGTGATGGGAACAGAGAGCTCTTGGTCAGGAGGTCAGAGTTGAAATAAAACTGAATATTCACTTAATTATCTGTACAGAATACCTCTGGGTCTCCTAATTAGAGGAGGTTACCTGCCCCCATATGTCAGCTCTTGGATCCATTATCTCCCCACATCTCTATGTAAACTAAAGTGTCATACATTTTTTTCAGCTGTTAATTTAATGAAAGCTATCATATTTAATGGTGTTTATTTAAGTGCCTTATACTGTTCTTTTTAAGCTACTACTTAGAAGATCTATTTACAGATCTGGAAAGAGTGGATGCTAACCTTCCCAGGGAAAAAAAAATTAAGAACATATGCTGATTTGAATGTTGGCACTTTCCAGCAGTACTATACAGTAGCTGTCAACAGAGTCTCCATGCCAACAAATTAAACATTTTTTTTTTTCATTTTATTATAATAAAAT